TATATTATATTATATTATATTATATTATATTCAGTGTGACGTCCTGTCACCATGCCATCCAGTCAAGCGTTTTTAAGCTTTGTTGGAATCAGAATCAGAACTGGACAGAGTTAATTGTGAATCAAATGAATTTGATTCATAGTCATTCAGTTCAAAGGCAGGTTAAATGGACAATCCATCATTGTGAACTCCCCCAGAGTCTCTCAACACTCCTTTTCTTCCTCTCCTTTTCTTTCAGTGGCTCTTTCTCTCCAGTGACTCAGTCTGTCCCTTTGTGTTAACTCCTGGAGACACAACATGAGCGTGTGTGGCCAAGGACAGTTCAGATGGAGCTCTTTGTTTTCGTCTGTGTGGCCACTTGGTCCTTGCACACCTCATTAGCTGTAACCACTGCTGGTTGCCACAGAAAATGTGTGTCAGTGTGTAAGCGTTGTTCCATTCCCTGATCCTCTGAAATGAGCAGTTTTTGAGGGACCAAGAAAGGGAGGTTAAAAAATAGAGGCCAAGAAACTCTTCAAGAGCTCTATGCCATTCACTTCAAGTTCAAACCACAAAATAAAATTGTCATGCACACACAACACAAGCACACTGCAGATATTTGGCTGTGTGTGTGTGTGTGTGTGTGTGTGAGAGAGAGAGAGAGAGCAAGAGCAGTTCCTTGAGGCCTTACCAATTCTTTAGCCACATGGCATTCAGGGAAATTTAATATCCTGATGGTGCCTCATGCTGATGTGTCCTGAATTTTGCAATGTGCAGTAGCTTAAGCTTTCATTAAAATATGAACTTGAGTGTGTGTAACTTTGTAATCATACAATATGAATGACATATCTTGTAAAATATGTATTTACAATATGAATTACATAGTGTGAATGCAGATAAAAAATTGATTTATTTAGACATTTATTTAAAAATTAATTAAATACACTCAAACTAAATCATATTAAAACCATATTTAACACATATAACGCAATAGTAAATATTCATATTTTTATAATATAAGCTTATAATTTAAGTAGACACTGATGATGTGATATCGAAAACATTTTGTCATTTTGAAGATTTTTTTCTCGAAGGACATTGTGTTGTGTGCTTTTTATACAGGTTTGCAATAATGCTGTAATGTGGGATACATCAGTCAGTCCATGATTTTGACCTTCTGACCTTTTTGCGACCAAAGACCTCTTGGTGGATCAAGAGATGATGCTCCGTTAAATATTACATACAATTAAGTTTTGTATGCATGGCCTCTAAAAACATGTACCATGTTAAAGTATTATATACTTTGTTACTTATTAAATTTGAGTATTATTTGTATTGTATTTTTGTTTAATGCATAGTTTTTTCCATAAACAAATTACCTGTAGCACCGCTGTATAACACCTATGTAGACCCCTGATCTAACCGATCTCATACCCAATTATTATTACACAGACCTGTTAATATTCAACCTTCCTTCACCTGCAGGCTGTATTTTTGGCACCATTCCATTACCCAGAGTTCATTGCTGTCCCACATGTTTAATATTAAATGCTAAGTCATTTTAGTTTCCTCATTCTCGCTCAAACACACATGCACGCACACACACACACACACACACACACACACACACACACACACACACACACACACACACACACACACACACACACACACACACACACACACACACACACACACACACACACACACACACACACACACACACACACACACACACACACACACACACACACACAGCAGCAGCAGCTCATACTAATGGAAGAGCCAGACAAACATCTGCTTTAACACTGAGCAGGATGAAAGATAGAGAAAGAAAGAAAAGCGAGAGAAAAGGAATGAGGGAATAAAGTGAATTTGGTGTCAGTGGGCGAACGGTTCGGAAAAGAAACACGTTTCACCATTTAACACGCAGTGAGGGATTTGTATCTGTAAAAGAGGAAAAGGAAAAAGTTTTACTAACTTACCTGCCATTGTGTGTGTGTGTGTGTGTGTGTGTGTGTGTGTGTGTGTGTGTGTGCGCGTGCGTGCGTGTAGAACTACACCGAAGAGCGGTTGGTATCCGTCTAAATGGGCAGCTTTTGATATCTTGTCTGTGTGTGTGTGTCTTTAAGAATTATTGTGTGCTTACACTTCATTTTTATAAATGATATGGCACAGCACATCAAAGGGTTTGGGAACAGATCAAACAAAAGCGAAAGAGTTGTTTCTGAGCGAGTTGAAAAATGAGATGAATGATGAAAGAAAACTTTCTTTTCTCGGTCACTTCATTTCTACATAGTTTTAGAGACTTTATCAAAACAAGGTTTTGGTCATTTTTGAACACTGTTCACCAAACCAACGGCATAATTAGTTAAACACTGTTTCTTTTTTTTTTTTCTTTTTTTTTTTGCATTGGACATCAGGTGGCGACCCTGCATATGCCCAACAATATGTACAATTATTAAGACAATATAGACTGACTAAAATTGACAATTTTGTCAACATGTAAACGGAAGCAGGCATACAATTTACAGTGTTCATAGTTTGAGTGTTTGGTTTGGTTTGTCTCTTGAATGTTGATGGTTTCATGCTCTTAGCAATTATCTTAGATAATTCACTGCACAAAACAAATGATGGTCGGCAAGTGTATTTATCCACATTGTAAATGGAACCATTTTTGATGTAATCATGGCAATATTGTGCTTTTACTAAGTAGCAGATATATTTGCACCAAAATAATTACAAAAATTATCATATACATGACCAATGATGTCATAACCTAAATAAACTTGTTTATGTTTGCTGTCCTTGTTTACCGGTCGATTGGTCACCGACCACCTCATACTGTTCCTCATTTTTGAACGTATCACCGCTGACGCTGACTGTGAGCTCCAGCTTTACTGGTTGCCTGTTTCATGAAGCTTTTTGATCGTGACAACAGAACTATTCATAACTGTTTTAATTATTTTTTGTATTTCACAAAAATGTAAATTGTCTGAAGTGTTGTATTTTGGTATATATTTTTTTTCCAGCAAATTAACTTAAAATTTGGCAAGCGGCACTTTAAAAATAAATAACTTGATCAGTATCGGTAAATGCAGTTAAATTATTGGTGACCTGTAAAGGCCTCAAGCTCAACATTCTTGTGCACCAATGATTTTATTATTTACCCACCAGTTAAGATCCACCTCTTTAGAATATATGGCAAGAGAAAAGAGAGAAAAAGAAGGCACTTTGAGCTATAAAAAAACAGAAAGGGTAAATTTGCAGATGGCAGGATGAAAGGGGGAAAAAAAACTGATTGAGAACAGATTGGGCTGATTGAATGCAATTCTTTTCAGAGCTTTAAATGAACTGTGTTTGTCCATTGCATTAATGTAACTGATGTGATATGTATGCATGTGTGGTAATAGAACAATTAGCAATTCATTCGATGACAATGTATGATGATGTCATGGTGATGTAAAAGGTCAGACAGTGCTAGTCGCACACACATACAGTGATGTCTGTGAAATATCACACTCAGATTCCCACTCCTCCACTGTGTCCTCAATTGATAAAGTGAATTCCCCTTTCTTTCTCGTTCTTCCTTTTTTCGGTTCATGTCTTATAAAGATTGTATATCTCGCTTTTAGCAGATATACAAATTACAAATTTAAAGTCTTTCATAGAGTTTAGCTGCAATTTCCAAGTCCCTCACACGTGGCTCAAGCATGTGTGTATGAGTCAGTGTGTGTGTGTGTCAGGGAAAAGCCCGAATGCTTTAAAGTCTCTCAATTACAGTGTCTGAAAAGCAGAGGGAAGTCCCGATCTTTGTGCAAACTTCTGTAAAACAGTTAATGTGTGTGTGCGTCTTTATAACTGGCATAAATTTGGATTAGAAATCACAGACAGACATCTGTACAATTATCAATTATGTCGCATGAATATGAAACAATTTCCTGAAAATTTGTTTCTTGTTCTGTTTCATCCTTACTTGACTAGCATCTCTGTCCTCATTTCACATCTTGCATCTCACCATTTTCTCTTCAACTAGCCTTTTCGCTAGCATGGATTGTGTGTTTTATATGGTTTCCCAGCTTTTCTGTCTCCTGTTAACTAACACACATCTGTTACAGGAAATAGCTCTGTGGCTTAAAACAGACAATTAAGGGCATAAACCACTGGGTAGTGTTAATGTGATTAGTAAATTAAGAAATGGGCTTCAAACCCACTGAAAACACATACATTTGGAAACTTGGAACTGAATAACGGAATTCAATTTGATTAAATGTATTTTAATTGCCACTTCACATGAATTAACTAAAACACTCCACTTTTACCCAATACATAATTTAGTTTTCATGTTTTTGTGCAAATGGCACAATTAATGTTTAACATTTGCATTTTTGCATTACAACATTTGTGTTGTATTAATCTCACACTGATGCAAGCCTTTCAAAAAAAAAAAAAAGTTTTCTTTTTCTTCTAACCGTTTCATTTTAGGATGTGTTGTTTTCACTTACAATCAAACTTACGTTACGTTTCGTACGTTACGTCACTTACGTTTCTCTGTTATTAAAATATGAGAATAAAGATACACATTACATATACGCAACATATACTATACAAATGAAATAAACAGTGCTTTATTTTTTCAACTACAGTAGTTGTATTTAAAAGAAGCATTCAAGAAAGAATTTAAATGATCAAATATAAAAATAAAACACTACATAGACTTACTTATTAAACCTACTATTAAAGTTATCAGAGCAGTGAGTGATTTTCTCTTTGTTTTTTGTTGTTTTATTAACATTAAAAATAAAATTGTCGAAATGAAATTTCCCCCAAAATGAAAATTTGTTGGTTTTCAGTTGTTGGTCCCCAGTGACTTCCATAGTATATATTTTCCTACTATGGAAGTCAATGGGGTCCAGCAACTGTTTGGTTAGCCACAATCTTCAAAATATCTTCTTTTGTGTTCAGCACAAGAATGAATTGTATACAGGTTTGGAACAACATTAGAGTGAGTAAATAAGGACAGAATCTTTTGGGTGGCGGTCCGTGACGGTGTGTCCGCGTCGGTGTCCGTGCCGGTGCTGATGTCCGTGCCGGTGTGTCGGTGTCCGTGCTGATGTCCATGCCAGTGTCCGTGCCAGTGTGTCCGTGCCAGTGTGTCCGTGCCAGTGTGTCCGTGCCAGTGTGTCCGTGCCAGTGTGTCCGTGCCAGTGTGTCCGTGCCAGTGTGTCCGTGCCGGTGCCGGTGTGTCCGTGCCAGTGTCAGTGCCGATGTCTGTGCCGGTGTCCGTGTCCATGCCGGTGTCCGTTCCGGTGTCCATGCCGGTGCCGATGTCCGTGGCGGTGCCGATGTCTGTACGGTCTGTGGCGGTGCCGGTGTGTCCGTGCTGGTGTGTCCGGGCCAGTGTGTCCATGTCCGTGCCGGTGTCCGCTTGTCGGTGTCCGTGCCGATGTTTGTGCTGATGTTCAAAGAAAGAAATGAATACAGGTTTGGAACAACATTAGAGTGAGTAAATAAGGACAGAATCTTCATTTTTGGGTGATGGTCTGTGCTGGTGTGTCCGTGCTGATGTCCGTGCCGTTGTCCGTGTCGGTGCCGTTGTCCGTGCTGATGTCAGTGCTGATGTCCATGCCGGTGTCCGCGCCGGTGTCCGTTCTGGTGTGTCGGTGTCCGTGCCGATGCCTGCGCCGGTGTCCGTGGCGCCGGTGTCCGTGCTGATGCCTGTGCCGGTGTCCGTGCCGGTGTCCGTGCTGGTGTGTCTGTGTCTGTGATGGTGTCCGTGCCGGTGTGTTGGTGTCCGTGCCGATGCCTGTGTCCGTGCTGATGCCTGTGCCGGTGTCCGTGCTGGTGTGTCTGTGTCTGTGATGGTGTCCGTGCCGGTGTGTCCGTGCCGATGTCCGTACCGATGTCCGTACCGGTGTCCGTGCCGGTGTGTCCGTGATGGTGTCCGTTCCGGTGTCCGTGCCGATGTCCGTACTGGTGTCCGTGCCGGTGTCCGCGTGTTGGTGTCCGCGTGTTGGTGTCCGTGTGTCGGTGTCCGTGCCGATGTTCGTTCTGATGTTCAAAGAAAGAAATGAATACAGGTTTGGAACAACATTAGAGTGAGTAAATAAGGACAGGAATCTTCATTTTTGGGTGATGGTCCGTGCTGGTGTGTCCGTGCTGATGTCCGTGCCTTTGCCCGTGCCGGTGTCCGTGCTAATGTCCGTGCCGGTGTGTCGGTGTCCGTGCCGATGCCTGTGCCGGTGTCCATGCCGGTGTGTCTGTGATGGTGTCCGTGCCGGTGTGTCCGTGATGGTGTCCGTTCCGGTGTCCGTGGCGGTGTGTCCGTGCCGGTGTGTCGTGTCCGTGCCGATGCCTGTGCCGGTGTTCGTGCCGGTGTGTCCGTGTCTGTGATGGTGTCCGTGCCGGTATGTCCGTGATGGTGTGCGTTCGATGTCCGTGGCGGTGTGTCCGTACCGGGGTCCGTGCCGGTGTGTCCATGATGGTGTCCGTTCCGGTGTCCGTGCCGGTGCCGATGTCCGTACTGGTGTCCGTGCCAGTGTGTCCGTGCCAGTGTCCGTACCGGTGTCCGTGCCAGTGTCCGTGCCAGTGTCCGTGCCAGTGTGTCTGTGCCAGTGTCCGTAATGGTGTCCGTGCCAGTGTGTCCGTGCCAGTGTCCGTGCCAGTGTGTCCGTGCCAGTGTCCGTACTGGTGTCCGTGCCAGTGTCCGTGCCAGTGTGTCCGTGCCAGTGTCCGTGCCAGTGTCCGTGCCAGTGTCCGTGCCAGTGTGTCCGTGCCAGTGTCCGTACTGGTGTCCGTGCCAGTGTCCGTGCCAGTGTGTCCGTGCCAGTGTCCGTGCCAGTGTGTCCGTGCCAGTGTCCGTACCGGTGTCCGTGCCAGTGTCCGTGCCAGTGTGTCCGTGCCAGTGTGTCCGTGCCAGTGTCCGTGCCAGTGTCCGTGCCAGTGTCCATGCCAGTGTCCGTGCCAGTGTCCGTGCCAGTGTGTCCGTACTGGTGTCCGTGCCAGTGTCCGTGCCAGTGTGTCCGTGCCAGTGTCCGTACTGGTGTCCGTGCCAGTGTCCGTGCCAGTGTCCGTGCCAGTGTGTCCGTGGCAGTGTTCGTACTGGTGTCCGTGCCAGTGTCCGTGCCAGTGTGTCCGTGCCAGTGTATCCGTGCCAGGACACACCGGCACGGAAAGATAACTTAGTCGAAAGATAACTTAGTCCAGTAACCAGGCGCTGTTTGACAGGCTTTTAAGTGCATGTGCTCCTCGGCTGTATGCGCTCAGAATGTTAGAACAGTGCATCAGCACGCAAATGAAATGTTTAAAGTAACAACATTTTTAAGTTTGTTGTAACTCCACCTCTGCGTTAACATGTGATGTGAATGTACGTCGCATTGTACAGTATGTTGGGATGGAGGCGCCAGAACTGCAACTTATAGAATACACTGTAGCACGATACTACTATATTTATTCAAAAGCAGATTGTGGAGACATTTTAATTGTCCACGATCAAAAATCGTGATATAGCACACCCCTACTTCAGATATCATTCTTGGGGCTCAAGTAAATTTTCTTATTATCTTACACGAAAATAGTTGTGCTGCTTATTATTATTGTGGAAACTATGATACTTTTCAGGATTCTTTGATGAAATTTCAAAGGAACAGCTTTTATTTGAAGTAGAAATAGTAACATTATAAATGAGTTTACTGTCACTATTGATCAATTTAATGCATCCTTGTAGAATAAAAGTATTGTGTTCTTTAAAAAAAAGAAAAGAAAATCTTACTGACCCCAAACTTTTCAATGTTACTGTACCTGACTATTCAATTGCTTGAACATTACAGTTTAATGGTTAACACATGTTTTTTGGAGTCTAATTCTTCTGTTCTTTCAAACTATTTGTTGTGGTGACAGTGGTGGTGGATGGTGACTTTAAGGCCTGAGCTCATGGCATGATAAATAACAACAGACGTGTACGCTAGAGCTGAGTGATGCATACACACGCGCATAGATACTCTGTATCCAAAACACACGCACATAGTCAAGCATGCTACAGCGGAACCCTCTTTTGCCAGAAACCGCTGTGTCCCTCTTCCACTGTTTCTTCACATTCTGATCCCATCCTCTTTTCTTCCATCACAATCTTCTGTCTCTCCCTCTCATCCTAACTGAGCCAGTAGTGATTGATAAACGGTTTTCAAGGTCTCGGCCACGCTGATAGCAAATGTGCCACAATGCTTGCAAAGACCTTGAGTCGTGTATGTGTGTATATAGCTGATGAACACATTCATCAACTTGCCATCATGTCACGAGTATTGTACGTTGTTGGCAGGTGACAAGTCATTATTGTCTGACATTAACACACACCTAACTTTTCAAGTGGCCTTAGACTGTAGGGTCAGAACAGGCGGGGATATACAGTAAAAGGTCAAAGGTCGGCAGTAAAAGAATACACACACAATATAATAATGCATTCAGTATCTGAGGGGAGAGGGGGCTCAGCTCCGCATTTTGAAACAACATCAGAATTCCAGTGCGCTTTGTGTGTGTGCGGAAGACTTTGGCCGGAACGCCTGAATTCCACTCAGTCCATCAGGAATGCTGGCTGAAGCGAATAACAGAGGAAGACAGAGGGATCAAGCAGGGAACATTTTGATTTGAATCAGCTCTCTGACCAGAGAACAAGGTATTAAGTGTCGTTAATCATCATCAACATCATGTGTTCGGCAGAATTCACGTTATATACACTCACCGGCCACTTTATTAGGTACCCCATGCTAGTAACGGGTTGGACCCCCTTTTGCCTTCAGAACTGCCTCAATTCTTCGTGGCATAGATTCAACAAGGTGCTGGAAGCATTCCTCAGGGAGTTTGGTCCATATTGACATGATGGCATCACACAGTTGCCGCAGATTTGTCGGCTGCACATCCATGATGCGAATCTCCCGTTCCACCACATCCCAAAGATGCTCTATTGGGTTGAGATCTGGTGACTGTGGAGGCCATTTTAGTACAGTGAACTCATTGTCATGTTCAAGAAACCAATTTGAAATGATTAGAGCTTTGTGACATGGTGGAAGTAGCCATCAGAGGATGGGTACATGGTGGCCATAAAGGGATGGACATGGTCAGAAACAATGCTCAGGTAGGCCGTGGCATTTAAACGATGCCCAATTGGCACTTAGGGGCCTAAAGTGTGCCAGGAAAACATCCCCCACACCATTACACCACCACCACCAGCCTGCACAGTGGTAACAAGGCATGATGGTTCCATGTTCTCATTCTGTTTACGCCAAATTCTGACTCTAACATCTGAATGTCTCAACAGAAATCGAGACTCATCAGACCAGGCAACATTTTTCCAGTCTTTAACTGTTCAATTTTGGTGAGCTCTTGCAAATTGTAGCCTCTTTTTCCTATTTGTAGTGGAGATGAGTGGTACCCGGTGGAGTCTTCTGCTGTTGTAGCCCATCCGCCTCAAGGTTGTGCGTGTTGTGGCTTCACAAATGCTTTGCTGCATACCTCGGTTGTAACGAGTGGTTATTTCAGTCACTGTTGCCCTTCTATCAGCTCGAACCATTCTGGCCATTCTCCTCTGACCTCTGGCATCAACAAGGCATTTCCGCCCACAGAACTGCCGCTCACTGGATGTTTTTTCTTTTTCGGACCATTCTCTGTAAACCCTAGAGATGGTTGTGCGTGAAAATCCCAGTAGATTAGCAGTTTCTGAAATACTCAGACCAGCCCTTCTGGCACCAACAATCATGCCACGTTCAAAGTCACTCAAATCAACTTTCTTCCCCATACTGATGCTCGGTTTGAACTGCAGGAGATTGTCTTGACCATGTCTACATGCCTAAATGCACTGAGTTGCCGCCATGTGATTGGCTGCTTAGAAATTAAGTGTTAACGAGCAGTTGGACAGGTGTACCTAATAAAGTGGCCGGTGAGTGTATATATAGTATCTCTGGTGGGCTATACTATGGCTCCCTTTTCCCCACTTCAGTTACAGTTGAGTTGTTGTTTATGTTTTAAATCATACTATTGGATAAGACAAGGAAGTAGTTGTTCTCTGATTTCTTATGATTTAGATGCAACAGTAAAATCTATTACAACTCTAAGCTCTTTAATACTTAATCATTAGAGTCTTGAAGTGATTTACGATGCCATTGAATGGACTGTGATTTGTGCTAGAACATGGCATTTTTCCACATTAGTTTTTCTTCAAATAACGTTCACAGCTGAATAAATTACAGTAGCAAGACTATATAAACTTCTGTTGTATAAGAGATCGGTGACATAAAGGACAGACTTTGAATCCATCCATTATGTGCAAACTTACCCTATTACCCTACCAAACATCTGAGCAGATAAGCCTTCACATGACACTGAAAAGTCTTATTTTAACAAAATAATTAAATACAT